GTAAATGAGTGTGTAGAGTTGTTTCCCAGTGCTGGCTTGCGGTTGGTAGGCATTAGCTGAGATAAAACATATGCTGAATAGGTTGGTGGTTCATTCTGCTGTGGCGCCCTCTGATAAAGTAAAGGGTATAAGCCGAAGAAAAATGAATGAAAGTTTGAAATATAATCCAACACAGGCTTTATCTTACTCTGTATGGTAGTGATATTTCCTCAGATGTGTTGTCAAAGCCCTTCAAATCGTTTTCGGATTGAACTACTTGTAAAGAAAGATATAAAAAAAGAAAATAAAGTGGCGCTAAGTTAAATTATACTAATTGCTCATTATGTGTTATTGTTCTGCTGATTTCCGTTACATAGTCTTTTTGCAATATGTGGTGTGACTGTGAGTAACTTTTATTTCTTAAAATATGGGCTATATAACAGAATAAAATGTTTTTTCACTTGCTCTGTGAACTTATATGACTTTATCTATATTCTAATTCATAATGTCATTAAGTAGTATTGCATAATGTAGAGTAGGCACTACTTTCGTTTAAAAACGCAAACAGAAAAGCATTGCATTCTGTTTTGTTTTCATTTCTATTTATGCATTCCTGTTCATGACATGCACTATTTTGCTTAAAGCTTTGAGACATCTGCTTTTCCATGCACTGATGCACATGAACCTTAATAATATCCTAAACTTAATCCAGTTTAATGCAGAGTTTGTGCACTATAAGTATTTCCACAATTTTTTTTGTATTTTTTTTTTTTTTTTTTGAGTATTTGTTGACTTTTCTTCTAGAAGCACAAATAAGGTCACTGATGTCTCCTGATGAAAAAGTTGTTTTGGGTTTAGGTCATGGCTCTGTCTAGGCTAGCCAAATTACTCCACATTAAACTTGCTCATCTATATCTTTAGGGACCTTGCTTTTTGTAGTGATGCGCAGTTATGTTGGAAAAGTTAGAGGCCATCCCCAAACTATTATCACAAACTTGGAAGCATTAAATTCTCAAAAATCTCTTGGTATTCTGAAGCATTAAGATCCTTTTTGTAGACCTACCTCTGAAAACAACCCCACACCATAATCCCCTTCAGCCAATATTACACTGTAGAGTCCAATCAGACAAGTACCATTTTCCTGGCAACTGCTACGCATCCAAGACGCATCCATAGCCAGTCATAGAGTTCATCACTCTAGAAAACTATGACTCCACTACTGAGCCCAGTGGCAGTGTGCTTTACACCACTACATACAGTGCTTTGCATTGCACTTGGTGATGTAAGGCTTGGATGGTATAAAGCTCTCTATGCAATGGTCTTGAGTTAATCTCAACATAAGTTTGGTAGTCTCTGCGTGCTGTATGCCTCAGCTTGCACTGACACCGATCTGTGATTTCACATGCCTGGACACTTCCAATTGCTTCCAATTTGTTATACTACTACTAACAGTTGACTTGTCTAGTTTTCCCCCTTACTACAGTCGCCATGGCTTGTTCAGGGTTAATACAGTCATGGAAAACCTGGAAAAGTTAGTGAATTTTAACACGGCATTTTCCAGGTCTTTTGAAAAACAGAAAAACAAAAAAGTTTTGGAAAAGTCATGGAAAACAGTTATACAGTTGAAGTCAGAATTATTAGCTCCCCCTGTTTATTTTCCCCCCAATTTCTGTTTAATGGGGAGATTTTTTTTCAACACATTTCTAAACATTACGTTTTAATAATTTCTAATAAATAAAAGATTCTAATGTAAATAATATTTTAATGGATATTTATTAAGACACTTCTATACAGCTTAAAGTGACATTTAAAGGCTTAACTAGGTTAACTAGGCAGGTTAGGGTAATAAGGCAAGTCATTGTATAACGATGGTTTGTTCTGTAGACTATCGAAAAAATATATAGCTTAAAGGGGCTAATAATTTTGACCTTACAATGGTGTTAAAAAAATTGAAAACTGCTTTTATTCTAGCTGAAATACAACAAATAAGATTTTCTCCAGAAGAAAAAAATATTATCAGGCGTATTGTAAAAATTTTCTTGCTCTGTTAAACATCATTTGGGAAATATTTAAAAAAGAAAAAAAAATCAAAGGGGGGCTAATAATTCTGACTTCAAATGTATGTATACTTGAATATAGGTTATTTACTTCTTTTCTGTCCCTGGCCAATCACATACTTTCACATTATTGGTGCGGTGTAAGCATTATCAAAAATCAATTTTACATAAATCTAAATTGAAACTTAACAGATTGCTGCTTGTTTTGCGATATGCTGTATTTAATTTGAACATGCATTGTTTTCTTTTACCATGAATATGTAGACATTGCATGAAACATTAGGTGATGAAAATTTACCTGAAAGTCTTGAAAAAATCATGGAAGTGTCATGGAATTTTAGTAGTAAAAATGTGTATGAACCCTTAGCGGCTCAAAAAGATTTAAGCTTTGTTTTTTTTCTGTAAAGCTGCTCTAAAATGATTCTTTTTTGCTCTATATAACTAAACATGACGTCACATCTTCTTTTCTTTATATTTGTCGCTTTCAGCATGACGTGATGCTGCAGCGCAAACGTAGCGGAGTGAAGCCGGAAATGCCGAACGCAGAAGAGCGACAACAAATTCTCACAGCCCTCGGAGGAAAACCCTACTGACGTGTGCACAAATGGACTAAAAAAGAAAACAGACATTTCTTGAATTACCAGTTGAACCTTCTGGATTTATTAAAAGTATGTTCATTTCTGTGGACAATTATTTAAAGTCTAATTGCATTTTCAACAGTTATGATGTGTAACAACAACAAATGCTGTATATTTATGAAACTGTCAATGGCTGCCTATTACAGTCTAGTTTTATGTGTATTCAGTCATTCGAAAATGAATATATTTTGAATATGAGTGGGAGTCGTGTCAAATCTGTTCACTGCACATTGTTTCAAAGCAGCTTTATAGAAAATTATGTTACATATATGTTATATGTTATGTTATATGGCCCACGAGCACATCATTCTACTTAATGTTTAAAATATATAGTACAAAATATTTCATAATAGCAAGAAATTACAACAGAAATTGAAAAAAAATCCAGTTAAACAGTAACGGTAATGTGGGTGTATGTCTTCGATGTCCATTCTGGAGTTAAAAGGAGAGAATAGTATGATTGATTTAATTTAATGTTATTTTAATTAAACTTCACTAAGACCAATTTCCCACAAAACATAACATTTAAAAAGTGTATTCTTCATGTTATTTCTATTTGCTGTAATTGTAATAATCAAAAAAATACACTGGTATAAATTAACACTAATTGTTGTGTAAGACTAAGTAGCTTGTTGGTTGTATTTAGACTTAATGTCAGTGAATTGGGGGTATTGTAGGCTTTCTTTACATCTGGCTATGACACTGGTATGTCCACATGGGGGTGCACTGTTCCTACTACAAATGCTGACATTTAATAGCGCTGCTGGCCGGTGTTTAGAAAACTTCAATGTTCCATATACAAAACCATGGGTCAGTCTGATTATACATCACAGGGGGGGTTGAATTATTATTCAAATGCATTTAATAATTACTCTTCCAAACAGACAATGGGAAACCCTTAGTGTCTCCTCAAAGGATTTACTGACATTTGGGGATTGTACACTCCTACTCGTGTCATTCTGCATAATGACTAATTTGTTGGTCATTTGCATATGAATTAGACTCTTGCATTTTGAACATGAAGAGTAAACAACTAAACATTGTGTAAAATCATTGAGACAGTGTTATTGACAACAGGGCTGAAGATAAAACACCAAACACTGTCTCATTTATGTAAAAACTAAATTAGCAGCCAGAGTTATCTGGAAAAACAAGAGCAAACATCCTTATAAGCCATGAGCCAATTTGAAGCAATTGTTCACTCAATCAAATGTGAATTACCCTTTGTGTATAGCACAACCTGACTTTGCAAAACTAAACCCTTTGCTTCTGAATGCACAATTAATCATCATGAATCCCAAACCTATTCACATAAACTGAAAATAATGTGCACTACTATCCAAACATTCCAATCTCTGTCCGCTGTGGTGTAATGTATGCATCTTCCAGTCAGCTTTTGATTAAATAATCACCATTTGTCACTTGAAAAAGTATAAAATGAATCAAAAATGCCATTACTTTTTGGCTTTAATTATAACTGAAGAAGACAAATCATGTTGTGTCTTTACGTACTCTCTGCAAAGATTAATGGTTAAAGTTAGCAGTGTAATTCATAATATAATTGTAATTATATTTATAATAATTATTTGTATGTGCACTGAAAAAATGCTGCCTGCAAAATACTTGCAAACTATTTATATTTGTTGATTTGAACAAATTAAATTTAATAATGTTTAACTTAATTTGTTAGTTTAAATTTTACTTTTTTACCCCTCTTAATGTAATGATATGTTTCTAATATCTAAACATTTAGTCACACGTTAATATCATATCAAACATATTTATTATGGTATACAGTTGAAGTCAAATTTATTAGCCCTCCTTTTTTCTTCTTTTTCAAATATTTCCCTAATGATGTTGAACAGATTCAGGAATTTTTCCACAGTATTTCCTATATTTTTTCTTCTGGAGAAAGTCTTATTTGTTGTATTTTGGCTAGAATAAAAATCATTTGAAGCATATTATTATTAGCCTCCTTAAGCAATATTTTGTTTCAGTTTTCTGCAGAACAAACCACTGTTATACAATGACTTAATTGACTTAATTACCCTAGTTAAGCCTTTAAATGGCACTTTAAGCTGAATACTAGTGTATTGAAAAACGCAGTTATAAGAAATGAGTTATTAAAACTATTATGTTTAAAAATGTTGAAAAAAGCTTCCAGTTAAACAGAAATTGGGGCAAAAATTTAAAGGAGGGCAAATAATTCTGACTTCAACTATAGATGAGATGTAGAATTTAAGGTGTATTTATTGCAACTCATTTCAATATAGTATTTCATAAATACAGTGAATGTCTGTGTTTTGAAGATCATGCATTCATGTTGTTAAAAACAGCCAATAATTCAATTGACACATTAATTAGTAAGAGCCATTAATAACAGACCATATAATCTGTTCCCATAATACAATTAACAAGTTATTAAAACATAAAATGTAAGTCGTTCTTTATGAAAACGGATTATTGGGTGCAAAGTAAGCGCTTATGGCTGAAGTTGTGTCTACTGTTATTATTTCAAAATAATGAAGTAAAACGAAAACTGCAAGTGCTGAATGTAAGAAGTGCGTTTTGGATACTGTATTTGTTCTAACTGTGTCTCTCTTCTTCACAGTTGTTTAATGTGTAACTATTCCATGCACTCTCGGGGTATTGTGGCAGCACAGGTTTTTTTTCTCTTCACCTTTCCTCTGATTTATCAGAGCCCATTGGTTGTTTCTTAGTTCCTCTATTGGTGGAAGTTAGTCGCTCTTTTGTCCATGACCTTTGAACTTAGCCATAAAGTTGAATGCTCCTAGGTATTCACCAAGCAGCACACCCACTTTAGTGGGTAAAAGACTGTGACAGAGTAAAAACAAGACAGAGAGAGGAACTGTTATACTTGCACACTGAAGAAAAAAAACATACACTTAAATTAGAGCATTTTTAAAGCTAGTTCGACCCCAAATAACTCATTTTAATTTCAACAGCTTTTTTAATAACACGAGAGATTTCTGTCTATTGTGTTCACTTAAAACTCTTAACACCTGTAAACAGATTTCACATAAATGCTTTTTCAACCTTGTTTGTCACATAATTGCCATAATTGAAGCTAACATGTGTTTACTGGTGTCATTGCCTTTTAGATTTGTTAGTCGTACAAAAAAATCTTGATATGCTGCTTGATATTGCAAACTGAAATCTCAGTTACCATTTATTCTACTTTGAAATTGTTCTTGTTATTAATCTGTAGAAATTGGAAGGCTTAGACATTTGTCATATTGACGTTGTACCCCAACGTTGTGGGGATGTTGAATTTTGTTTGGACATGAAAATCGGGTTGATGTTAGAACTCCACATCAGGCCAATGTCAATGTCCAACCTAAAATCAACCAAATATCAACTTCTAATCATGTTACACCTTTGATGTTGCGTGGACGTTACCACTATGACATCTGTCAGGTGTTGGATTTTGGTCACTATCCAACACAACCTAAAATCCAACTACATATTAATGTATATTAATGTCGTTATTTAGACGTCAAAATAATGTTGTCCTTAGACGTGGGCTAGACATTATATTTTGGTGACCTCACGTTATGAATTTAATCTAACCTAATATGACTGTCTTATGATGTTGTGTGCCTGCTGGGAGTGATCAGAATTCATTTTGGTCTATATTCACAAGTGATTAGCAAACATAACAGGAGCTCAAACACACCTGCTTGATGTGTGTAAACAAACCTCATTGGTTCCTGTGGAAGCTCAAACAAATTGAAGTGACTCTCAGTCAACTGCACTGGATATGCAGTCATGCTTAACTTGTATGGCCATGATTATTAATGCTTTTTAATGCTTTTAGCATCCGTTTTGGGCAAACACACTTTAAATGGAGAGATAGAAATCTCTAAAGGCCAGGACACACCAAGCCAACAGCTGGCTGTCAGGTTATTTGTTTGGTGTATTCCATGTGACGCTACTCATTGGCCAGGAGTTTGCACTATGGTTGTCATTAAAGGCATTCTGTGTGAATGAGGAATCATCAAATTCTCTAAAACTGTTTGCCAAGCTTATGATTCCATTACATATTTGGAAACACTAATAAAAATAAACAACAACTGTCTCATAAGTTTAATTTCTAAACATCCGAATCAAACAACATCATGTGCACTCAAAAGGAAGGAGATCACAAAACCAATCTCATTTATTGCTGTTCTACACATTATCATCTTCTGGATAATGATTGTCTGATCACGCTGCTCTTCTCAAGTAATCCATAACTTGGTCTTGATGGTGAATCTCCTCCAGAGATGGCAGCGACTCTGTTTACAAGTTTGGGGTGTTTGAGTGCGTTTGACAGGATGTACTGAACCTCGCGTTCGTTTCATACAGATTACAAAACTAAAAAACTTTTTTGTTTTCAAGTGCACTTGGTTCAATTGACCCTTCTCTAAGCCATGCCCAAAAACCGCCATCCACCAATCATGGCTTAGCAACCGTAACTACGCACAGGGGCTCTGTCAAGTTTTTGAGCGAGTGCACATGGATTGTGCAAATCTGATACCCGGTCTCCTTAAAGTTTGGACGAGATAGTGGAATTTTCTCCCTTTTCAAAACCCAAAACCCAGGAGCAGACATGCTAGCGTGGATCAGGCTGTGTGAGAGACGCTAAAGGAGCGGAGCTAAGTTGGTTTTGTTTAGATATTTTGGGATATATAGGGACCAGGCCATATCCTGAGCTGCTGCTGCGCTGATGGTCGTGGGGAGTGGAGAACATGAGTCTGATTCCAGCGACGCTCCAGGGACTGACGAGTCTTCGCTGAGGCCATCTTCCAGCCTAAACCACGGCGAATGAAGCTCTGCACAAGACTTTTGGCCAGCGGAGAAATTAAAATGGTCGTGCCCAACTGAGTCTGGTTCTCTCAAGGTTTTTTTTTTCTTCACTCCCATCAGGTGAAGTTTTTTTTTCCCTCTCCGCTATCGCCACTGCCTCGCATGGTTCAGGATTGGTAGAGCTACGCATCGATGAATTGGCTCTTCAGTGTTTGAACTCTCAGTAATGATTAAATCACACTGAACTGAGCTAAACTGAACTGAACTGAACTTAAACACTAAAACCTGAACCACACTGTTCCAGTTACTATGACCATTTATGTGAAGCTGCTTTGACACAATCTACATTGTAAAAGCGCTATACAAATAAAGCTGAATTCAATTGAATTGAATAGCTATTCCTGACACATTCAGTGATAGACAGACGGCAATAACTCATACAACTCTCACCCTAAACAGATCTAAACTGTGTTTCCTACTAAAACACAAAGCTGGTAATGTTTCACAGCTGTCTTATTCCTTTTTTTTAATGCTCCGTTTAAGCCTTCGCCATAACGTTAGTAACATAGTCATACTAGTAGCGAATAGGTCATAATGACATGAGTTATTGATCCGAAAAATACAAATCTGCGAATCTGTTGCTAACTTTACTGAACTTTATATTTCCATCTATATCAAGCTACGAATATTTGACATTACAAATCAACAGAACAAAACCAAGATATGATCACAAACTGAGCAGCTGCGATCACTATACTTTACCCGCAGCTGTTTTCAGTCATTTATAAAGAACACACAAACACACTGACAGTTATAGGTAACTTACTGTACATTGTTATGGGTCAATGATGCTAATATTCGGCACAAATCCATCAGTTTCCCTTTCTGGCTGTTCTATAGATGAATGAACTATGTAAAAGCACTGTCGTGCATGTGTCCTCATCGGTTAGTAATGCTTTATTTCATTGCAAAACAATTAATCTATCAGGCTTTTTGGATAAAAATAGAGAAATCACGGTTTCATTTATTATTATTAGATTATTTTTAAACTTTACATCTCCTGCTGAGCATGAGCTAAGCTGTTAAATGGTTAGCGTATGAGACGGCTAGGCTAATCTAGCTTCAATTTTGATTGATTTATTCTCTAATCGATTGCCTATTATGTGATTAATATACTCCTGTAATGCATACTGCAGTCCTTTTTTGTCTGGCTTTCTCTGATATCTCACCTGTTCTCCAAAAATGACATTATATCCGTTTCAATGTCTGAAACCGGCGCACACACATTGAAAAAGCCATGCCAGGCACAAAAGCTTGACAGGCGTAGCAACAGTAACTAAGGAGGGCGGGGCTTAGCGAAGGGTCCATTGAAAGTCAAGATTTCAAGCTTTATGTGGATATATTTCTTATGTCTGTGAAGTAGGCATTCGCTCCAGTGCGTTTGTTGACCACTGTCAGGCTGTTATAAAAGCATACGTCTTATCCGAGCTTCTCCCTGGAGAGTTGTCAGTCAATAGCAATCGATGATTGGCTCTTGTACTAGTAGGCGGGGCTTCATTCTCTATATTGACGTTTTCCCCATTCAACCCTATACGAGTGACATGTCTTGTGTGTTCTATAGTCTAGGTGTGTTCCAGGTTTAAGATTTGATTAAAAAATCGTAATTTTTTTCTTCTGAAGATGACCAAATTTCTTGTGGGTTTAAAGCGAGTGAAAAAAATTACTGAAATTCTATTTATGGTGAACTGATACTTTCATTTTTAAATAATTTGTCTTAAACAGCAATAAGAAAACAAATTGAGATTTACTCTAGAAGTCTCACATGTGTTTTACACACTATTAGTAAAGCGACAGATGAAAAAAAGAGTTAAGTTTGTGTTTAACTTCAGCATAGCTGCAGGTTTAAGCAACTAATTCAAACATAAACAGGTGTTGTAATTATCCTGTAGTAATTCATAAGAGAGAGGACGCATACACAAATTGACTCATTTGTGCATGCACTGTGTGCTTTAAGGGTCTGTGTGGGTGGTTTTATTTAGATTTTTCTTTGTCAAGCTTCCTGTTAAGCTTAAGAGTCTCTGCTTAAGCGGAATGTTGTGGGATAGGTTTTAGCAATAAACCTCAAGGTTGTGATTATAGTGGTTTTATTATTACTGGTGAAGTTACAAATACAAATTCCAATCAAATGTTGTTTCTTTTCTAAATATCAGTCTATTCTTGATTAATTACTTAAACTTAAAATCTAAATTTAAAGGTTGGTTTCATTGTAATGCGATCCGGGGTGACAGTTCATTCATTTCTTACAGATAACTTGACATCAATAAATGCCATTTACTGCATTTATTGCATTTATTGACAAGCTCAGCCAGTGGAAAATGTCATGACACCAGCAATGCAGTCTTTTATTGTATGCTGTATATTGTGATCTAAGCTTACCTAAAACATATAAAATTGGGAAAATGAAAATCTTGTTGCCTTTGCGACTTGTTCAGCAACAACAGCAATATTGCAAACATAATCACCATAATCAGGTTTTTTTTTGTAAATGTAAACCATTAACCTTTGTTTTAATAATGTACTGTTTTTCAATACTATATAAATGTAAATTAATAAATGCTGCTCTTCAATATCAATGTCTACATTTTAGTAAATCAATAATTGCTGTTCTTCAATATGATTGTCTACATTTTAGTAATAAAATATAAAAGGAAAACAGATCTTCAACACTGAATCCATTTTGACTTACTTCCTTAAACCGATGATGATGTAGATGCTCCGAGGCATGTAAAGGTAAACCTGTTCCCTTCGAATTGCATCCACAATTTTCCTACATGCATAATCTGGGTCAAGAATAGGCATGAGTCTAGGCCATCTGCAAAATACACACAAACAACAACATGACCAATAGTTTTTGTGCTGACAAAGCAGTTAAACAGGTTCCTTTTCAGGTATTTTATCTAATTTGACAATTGTTTTTATTTCTTTAAACCTGCTAATAGTCTTAACCGCAAATAAATCTATTTTCATAGTCTAAAAACTATTTTTATTTATCTTATTGAACTAATAGTTTAAATTTGTGAAGATTTATAGTAAAGATAAAAGTGTACTAAATAGTGTTGCACAAATTATTAAAAAAGTGCATCATTTTAAAATGTAACATTTAATTTAATGGCCAAGCATGAGAGTGTTCCACACACAGGTTTTGTAGTTTTCTATTTTAATTTGATCAATCAAATGGGGTCTCACTATCTTTATACCCACCACCCCAGCAGGTGCGATTATGCTATTGCTAGTCAATGGCCAAAGGGGAAAACCGCTGAGGAAATGAAAACATCGATTAAAATGTTTGCACCTACACTTTTTTGCCTAAATTAGAAATAGATTATCTGTTTATATCTTTGATCATTACATAAATAAATCCATTTAAAAAATAGATAAAATAGCATTTATCTACATTTATCAGTAGGAATATAGCTATCACAAATATTCAACAACAATAATTTTCCAGTCATAGATTTCCAGAATTTTATCATGCAGTCATAGTATTAAAAACAAACACCATGAACCTAACAAATCTGGTGTATTAGGATTTAGGCAATAGTAAAAATAAAACTTTATCTCATTCAAGCACAAAACTTCAATCATAAGAAACCAGAATCCAATTCAATTATAATGAGTATGGCAATCTTAATTGAAGTAAACAGGAAGTAAACACCTTAATCACTTTTTTCACTGCTCTCACTATATAAGAATACATACTCTGTCACATTCTTCTTACATCTTCCTTAAACTTCGGTACACAAAACTGTCAACACATCTGACTGTGAACATTATTCAAAAAAAAAATGTTTCAACGCTATTTTTAGACTTTTGTCTTTAGGGGTACCTAAGGAAATGCACTTTAATCTATTTAGTGTGTTTAGTTAAGTTTAATTTAGTTCATTACCAAAATAGTAGTAAAAATGTTACAGACATTAAAAGTTGATTTTAGACTGATTTTCTATTTCCATAGAGAGAGCAGTTTACCCTTGCAATCCTTTAACAAATAGTGCTCTGTGGTTTCAACACATACATGATGGCTCATTTGAATTAAAGGATCAAGTTTCAGACATTACATCTGACACCAACAAGTTAAAAAGGAATCTTGATCAGCCCCGGAACTGATATTTGAGATTAGTTTGGGACATCCCTAATTATAACTACCAATAATTGTGTAGTACTCTTTGTACATGTCCAGGGTTGGATTTTCTTAAAGCAGCATAAGCCAAAGTAGATCTGTCAATGGCTTGCATGAACATGCATGAAACCCATCTATGTATTGGTCATTTCTTCTGCTTAACATGTTCTTTACGCATTTCTCCAAACCTTTTGCACCTCAGGATGTTGGTAGATGCTTTATATAGACTTGTCCTGATTGCTAATCCAACATAAGATGATGATTTTTGAGTTAAATGTTCATTGAGAAAATGGACAGTGACTCCTAAGTAGCTCATCCAACCAGTTTTCACAAATCATGTTACCAATAAGTTTTTGTAAAAGCATGAACGGAACACTATTAAGAGATAAGATGCATCTTTATCGGAAAATGCAACCCAGAACCTTGGTGGACCTGGTAATACTGAACATATGCTACAACTATCATATAGAGTTTTCCCAATTGAAACAGGCAACACTTGGAAATTCTAAACCCTATAGGTGAATTGAATCTTGGGTCATCTCACTTTATAGGTTACACTGCTCAAACTTTAGGGAATTTGGAAAGACTATTTTGATGGTCCCTATTGCACATTTTGATGACTAAAAGTTGCATTGTAATTTGGTGCCAATTACTTTTCATCATTAGTAGACTGTATTAGTAGTCTGTCTGCCTAATATCTGCTGATAATGCTTCTTCAACATTTAAAAGACTATAAGAAACTTTGCAAGTATATGTCAACTTACACTAACCCTAATTTAGCAGTGTACATATAGTCTAATGAGAATTAGTTGGCATGTAGATGACTTAAATTCAACAAAACCTGTTAAAGGGACTCAAAATAAAGTGAATCCGGGAATTTGGACAATATTTTTGTCTTTAAATGTCTCAGGACCTTTGCTATCTATGGAGGATGAGGGAGTTCTTGGGTTTCAACCAAATACCTTAGTTTGTGTTTTAAAGATAAAATGGAGGTCTCCGTGGTCTCCAGGGATGCAGCGATTAACCAATTTCACTATTAACCTTGCTTCAATTCGTCACGGATAATGAATCGTAAAAGCTTCTCAACACCGCGTTTCTGCACTGAACAAAACTGCTGCAACTAAACAATGTTATGACAACTGCGCACCAGTTTAAAGTTCCGAGGTTATACACCAAGGCGAATACCCATGCACACTCGATTTACTATGGATGAGGTATTAATTAAGAACTATTCACACACTGCATTTTCTGCACGCGCAAGTTCGTTATTTCTAATGGAGGCACACGGCTTGTGTGCACATATTGGGAGGCCCAATGCACTCATGCTTTCCAGGCGCACCTATTTAAAAGAATGAAACAAGTGTATACTCCAAAGAGAAAAAAAAACTAAATAATCGGTCCCACTTTATATTAAGTGTCATTCACTACTATGTACTTACATCAAAAAATAAATACAATGTACTTACTGTTTTTATAATGTATTTGAGAACACTTGTGGTGCTTTTGAGTTGGGATAGAGGTTGGGTTATGGACAGGTTTGATGGCATGGGTAGGTTTAAGCATGGGTTAAGGTGTAAGGGATGGTCAACTGTGTATTTACAAATGTAATTACAAAAGTTAATTACAGATGTAAATACATATATGTATTAATTAAGCGTAAGTACACAATAAATACATGTATTTACACAATAAGTACATTGTAACAAACTATTATTTCCTGTTTAAGTACATATTAGTTAAGGCCACAATATAAAGTGGGACCAAAATATCAAACAATTGTGTAATCTAGTTGATCAAAGGTGCCGTTCGACCGTTCGGCAGCCTTTCACTACAGTTGCTCACTTTAAAAGGGAAATACCTAGCTAATAGCTTAGATTCACATTTGACGAATACTATTATTAATTTATTCCTAATTATTTTTATTTATTTGTTTATTTATTGTTTTGTCATTTATTTTCAGTGTGAAATTATTACTTATGTTAAAATGCCAAAAACTTTTTTTTTACTTAGTATTAAGTACTAAGGGAAATGACCTATTCTTTGTGTTAATTATTATTATGAGCTGCATTATTTGGTTACTGAGAAGCAATAAATATTACTTTAAAATATAAGGAGTTTTCATTTAATTTTAAAACTAGTAGTGTTTTGAATTTAATGAATGCATAATAATCATGAAAACTATGATTATTCCTCAGACTGTAATTGTATAACCAATATCTATAACCGTTGTATCCCTAATTGGAACAACATGAGAATGAGTAATGAATTATATTTTACAATATTAAAAAAATGTCAACTAATTCTTTAAGGATATTCTGCACAGGCCTTCAAACTTCAAAAGCGTCATCAGAGAAGAAATGCTATTCTAGAACTAAAGCTAAAGCTAAATTTGATCATAGAATAACCAAGACAAACCTTTTATCTGTTAATTAACATATTGCTTGGTCACCTTAAGAATAACAATGCATGCTATCGAAGTGAAAGGTTTTAATTACTAAATCCCAAGTTAACAAGCTTGCCAGTTCGAGTCCCAGCTGAAGTTTGCATGTTCTCCCTGTGTTAGCGCGAACTTCCTCTGCAGTCCAAAGACATGCAACACTGGTGAGTTGGATAAAACTAAATTGGTCATAGTGTGTGAGTATGTGAATGAGAGAGTGTATAGTTGTAATAGCGGTATATGTGGTTCATTTTGTTGTGGTGACCACTGATAAATCAGGGACTATGCCAAAGGAAAGTGATTGAGTGTTAACATTCTTATTTGCATATTAGAAATGACAGTGTCAGTGACAGGACTCACCGACCTGTTTGCGTAAAGGCTATAGAGCTCAACAGCCGTGTTGATTGTGTTTTTTTTACTGCACTTTTCATACTCAAATGCTGAAATGACTGTTTGTTGTTGTTTACAATTTGTTTCTGAAACTGTCCAAATAATTCTAATGAAATATGCAGTGAAGGTTGTCAGATTATAAGCATGTATCAATGACTCTACACAATTGGCATTTATTTGAACGATGACCCAAATTTTACATCAAGTAAGGGAATATTTTAATAAAAGTAAACAGAATAAATAAAATGAAGCAATAAAAATGTATTATGAATATCAGTGTAGTGGTATTACAGCATATTTCAAAGACTAAATTATTAACATGGTGTAGGCTGAATGAGAAAAAAAGACCATTGAATTCCAGTGGGTTTTATGCTCTTGGCAGCTAATAATTCTCTGCACCATGCAAACAGTGGCCTGCACAGTGCATGCTTTTGATGTCATGAGCATTTAACATTCTAGAATGTATTTTATATCATGTCCAGGTTGGCATATCCATGATTAGCAATTAGGCATGATTTAATTGCTCATTAAATGTTGATGCTTTTGCCATTTTCCTAACAAAGCATGGTTGCAGGGCTAGTTTCATTGCCTTATTTGCATTTACCATTGGTTTTCCCTACTGTATACAAACAAACCTACAACCCACTTTTTGGTAGTGACGCAATTTAACACTGAGCAACCACAAGTTCCAAATATGCAAACACACTGCCATACTGACTAAGAGTTAAGCACACAGACGCACTCACAAAACACACACAAATCTGAGAGCTGAGTGAGAATGCTGAATTACATCACCTCATTTTCTGCCTCTGCTACATGTCTGTCTTTTTCACAGTCAAACTCAGGGCCGGAGTGGGACTCTTTTTCAGCCCTGGAGTTTCAAGCCTTAGACCGGCCCACCTCAGTTCACGACTGACTATATTAAAATAAGGTCATTTCCAATTCAGTTTCTAATTACACTATCACGTCTTTTTTTTTTTTTTTTTTTTTTGAGAAAACAGCTGCTTTAGAACTTTAAATGTTCAAAAACCCTAACAGTATTATATGTCTTAACAATAAAACTATAATTAAAAAAAAAAAACATACTCTGACAAGAATCAAACCCGGGTCGGCGGCGTCATAATCTAACGTGTTAACCACTGGACCACAACAGTTGTATATGAAGGACTGACTCATCTGAGTAATATCATCATTAACCTGTAGGTTGGTTATATATAAAAAGAGCAGAGCTGCGGTAAAATAATGAATAAGAAGACTGTAGTCAAGTAAGTAAATAAATTAATTTAAAAAGTGTGACTGCTGAGAGCAACCGATTCTGGAGCTAGGGACACCGGCCCTCGCGGCCAAAAAACGGACCGGCCCACCGGGAATTCTCCCGGTCCTCCCGATTAGCCAATCCGGGCCTGGTCAAACTCATTATAAGTTTTGTTTTTTAACATGCATCTGAAGTTTTACTCAGATTTTTAATAATTTACCAAATGTTTCCCAAGAGCTGCTTTGCTGGAGCTATTAAGTGATTTTCACATGTTCATTTCCTGTAATGTTTTATTCTCAAAAAAGCTTTATTTCTATTAGTACGGCTAGAATAAAAGCAGTTTTATTAGTATTTTTTATTTAATATGACATTAGTAAGAAATATATATTTTTAGATTGTCTAAAGAACAAACAATTGTACAATAACCTGCCTAATTATAACTTGCCTAGTTAACCTAACTTATGTTAGTTTGCAAAACAACAAGTCAAATATTATGTACTGTCATCGTGTCAAAGACCAAATAAATTTGTTAATAGAAATTAGTTATTAAAACAATTAGTTTTAAAGTTGTTAAAAAAATGTATCTCCGTTAAACAGCACTTGATTGGAGAATATTTGAAAAAGAATGAAAATTTCACAAGAGGGCTAATAATTTTGCCTTCAACTGTATAACTGTGAAAACCATCAGAGATAAGCGTTTCAGAGTTCTTCAACACCTTATATAACAATGTAATCTATGTTAAAGTACTCTCTATTGACATTTGTGTTAGAACAGCCTCTGGCTGCACAGTCACTTATCTCCTCACTTATCTCAGATTTACATCTCGTCAAGAGCCAACGGATGATAAGTAGCAGCAACCACAGAAAAATACAAAATCACTCTATGCTCATCATTTATATTTTACTTTCTTGTTCTAGCATGTATTATTCCTGATGATTCCCGGTGATGATTAAAAATATTATCAAGGATATCTTGTTCTTATTTGTATGCTTTGGATTAAAGCTTTCTCCCCGTGTGGGGTCCCCCAGGGCTCCATCTTCAGACCAATTCTATTCTCTCTATATTTATATCATTTAGGATCCATTTTTACGAGGTATAATATTTTGTTTCATTGTTATGAGGATGACACACAATTACATCTGCCATTGAAACAAAAATAACCAAACACCACTTTTATGCTGCCTTGAAGAAAATCGTCAAAAGTCTGGATGGCAAAACATTATTATTCAATGACAAGACAGAAGTCATATAGTTTAAAAAACATGTTATGGGTTTTTGAAAATGACCTTCCTTGCAAAGTGTAACACAGCTATAAGTGAATGAAATTATCTAGCTGAGGTTTAATTCTGAAAGTCCAAAAAAGACCAAATATGAACTGCCAGATTTGGTAAAATGTGAATGCGCCCTTCCCTTTAGAGACTAGCAGAGCTTGGGAAATCACAGGACTTATCATGATCAAGATAATGATCATTAACAGATGGACATTCAGCTGTGGGGATTAAAGAGTTAAAGACCATTTTCTCAACAATACTACAGTATAGCCAACGTGCCTATTATTCCGGATTGTAACAAGTAAGTGTGATTAAAATTGTTGCCTCTTTTTGTTTAGTTTGCAAATTGTGTGAGTAATTGTGTGTTGTAAATTGTAATTGCTCCGCATGACTTGTAGTCACATATCTACAGATCAGTGCTTGTACTGTATCTCTCTGGTTAAATCTGTATGGGGCTGTTTACATATTGCATCCAAAACCACAATTAAAATGCAACGCCTGCTTTTTCCTTTACCGATTTAAAAGCGTTTCTTAACTTGCAATCCTCTGCCATTTGCTTTTGCTATGGCCTCCATCAGCTGTTCCTACACACGTGGTCAATTTTCAAAATAGTTCAGCTTTTGCCACTGTGTGAATTAATACTGAATGTGTCGTTGTTCTTACTTGGGGTTCGGGTTAAGAGTAGAGTAATATGCTGGTGTTTAACTGCATTGCGTTATTGCATTCCTGCATTGGGCTCTCACACACTCTGGTACTTAATAACCGTGGTGGGAGTTTCTCATCTCGTGCTGAACACAGTCGACCAATCACAACAGACTGGGTCATTGGACCAATCACAGCAGATTAGCCTCATGCAAAGGAGGGGTTTGGGAACAAATGAATCACTGAACAAATCATATGGGAGTTGTTGGGATAATTAGGTAAAAATAAATCCATAATATAAGACAATGAAAGTGTTTTTGACCTTGCATGCTTATCAGCATATTGTTGGAGACCCCCAAAACCAAAACATACCTTTTATAAAACAACTTTTATACTGCAAAATGGGGGCTTTTTAATCCAGGCACTGCCTGTGGGTCTCCTGACATGGATTTGCGTGTTTTAAAACTATTTGTGAAGCCTTCTGCAAAAAAAGTCGGGTTGTTTTAATGAATGGTGATTTTAAGCTGGATAAACAAGTAAATTTGTAATAATTAATAATTTACAAAACTTCCAACTGAGGCAATTGTTCTAGACCAAAACTTTTCTGCCTTATAATTTACAAAGATTTAGAAGAATTATAGAAAAAATTATACACATTTTCATATGACCTCGTCTCAATTACTCTAATGGTCTCTATCTAGGCATTGGTCAGACCTCCCTCAATAGCCTGCAGATGGTCCTGAATGCTGCAGCTCCTTTGATAACAAGAACAAGGAAGCAGGATCATATTACCCATTTTCGCCTCTCTCCAATAGCTCCCCGTTTGTTTTAGAATTGATTTCAAGATCTTAACATTAGATTTTAATGCACTAAACCGTCTAGCACTTACATATTCTGACTTAATCCAGCCATATGCTCCATCGTAAGGTCTTAGGTCCTCTGACCAGTCACTCTTAAATGTCCCTCATGTAAAACTAAAAAGCAGGAGGTACAGTGCATTTGCAGTAGCGTTTTATAAGTCTATCTTTATAGACGGCCATTCAACACAGTGTGAGAGCTGTATCTTATTTTATTTTACTCACTATTTTTAGTTTTCTTTTCTTATCCTCGTTTTATATTTCATAATGTCTTATTAGTTTTATTATTATTTGACTGAACTCTTACCCGTCCAGCACTTTAGTGAACACTTGGGGCCCTATCATACATCCGGCGTAATGTGGCGCAAGGTTTCAGCTTGGCGCAAGAGTTGTTTTGAGGCATTGCGCCACGCTGTTAAAATAGCAAATTTATTTGCGCTTATATGTGCGTCCATAGGTGTTCTGGTCTAAAAAGGAAGACGTTCTGAGGCGCATTACTGGCTCGTTGCTATTTTGAGAAACTATAATAGATTTTTTATAGACCAAAACAAACCCAGTCTAAAGTCCAGCGCAGAGTTGCACCTCGCTTACACATTGCTTAATACACACAAGCTGTAGAGCAATATGCAAATATCTTTACATATGAAAAAAATTTAAATATTAAGGATATATATATAGGATATAATAAGAATATATATAGAATATAAATATACGTCAGGATATACGTCATGTAAATAGCAAATGCGCTTATGGCTTTGCTAAATAGAGCCCTTGGTGTTCTTTGACTGTTCTAAACTTTGACTTTGAAAGCGTTTGCTAAATGATTACTTTCTTTTTCATTGTACTGTTAAAAGCTGAGTTACACTTTTTTTTTAAGACTGATGCAACTATATCTACAGGTTTATGTATATATGTTTGCCGAATGTTCAAACTACTTAATAAGCTGAAACAGCACAATTCTTGAGCTTTATTAGGTCAACCTAATTGTTTTATGTTCAATCCAATTTAATTCCTTTATGTTGTCTTGACACAAATCGATTGTGTGGAACACAGCAATTTTTAGTGTAGAAAATGTTTGGTTAAGTAGGTTGGAAAACAATTTAGTTTATTTTTGAAAAGCAGTTACTTACTTTGTGTTGGCACCGTCAAACATGCCAGTGTTGATAAAAAACGGGCAGACTATAGTGGTCTTCACTCCATCACAGCCTGTGGCCAGCAGCTCTAGTCCCATTGACTCAGCAAATCCAACTGCAGCAAACTTACTTGCACAGTAATCTGAACAGTATACCAAAGCCAAAATGTCATTTGAAATGTGCACTACCTTCAAAATAAAACATTTGTGTGACTGAGAATATATACCTGCCAGTCCGTTCACTCCAATAAGTCCAGCGGAGCTTGCAATGCTCACCAAATGACCATGATTTCCAGCAATCATTGCTGGCAGAAAAGCTTTGTAAGTCTAAAAGGGGAGATATAGGTATCATGTATATTTTGTTTCAGAATATTTAAAACATGTACATTTTTAACAGACTGAAATTTTAAAAACATCTTTAAATTGTAACCTCAAGATCATATGTTAACAAATAAACAGACCTGTGTAATGATACAAAACCCAAAATCTGTTCATGAATATGTTTTCATTTTGTTTAATATTTTATATATAGTGCTGTCTGTCTTTAATGTTAAATATTATCTATTATCTATTATAACAAGTCTACTCATAAGTACTATACAAGTTTTGTAAATGACAAACTACCATAGCAATAGAGTTTTAAATATGACCTTATTCCTGTAGGCCAGAAGGTCACAACAAATTTAAAAAGTATAGGTTTAATAAAAGGATTAAACATGTTATGTTATGTTTTGCAGCTTGAGATAATTATGGTATAATTAAAACTTAAGAATTTATTAGCATTTGTGAAGTAAACACAAAATGAATAAATTATATTTTAAATAATTTAATGAACCATTTCATCTGTAAAGGGCTTATATTCTTAAAAGATCAATTGAATTAAAGGTTTAATGACTCCCTAATAACACAAACACTCTTGTTAATATCATTTATTTTGCTATACTGCCATAATTCTAGAGAAATATAGTCTTAAGGTCAAAACGTTGTTGATATAAATGGCAGGGATTTACTTTATTTACAAAACATTTACTTTAAATCTAAAAATAATAGAGTGTTCACTGAGTAAAAGGATACATAAAATGAAGGGGCAAGGCATAAAACTATTTATATTTAACAAATTACATATATATTTACCAAATAAATATATTTATATTTAATAAAAAACAATAATGAGTAATTGAGTGAATATATATTTTGTATAAGAATTACTTTGAATATATTTTGAGATTGGATTGATAAAACCTGTTCTTGGCTAATATTATTTTAGATATTACATAGTAATATCTAATTATTCACACTTTTTTAAAAATGTTCTAATCTGAATGAAATATATCATTTATTGTATTATAGCATATAATTTCTTTTTTTTTGTCCATTGTTAATTAAAAACCATAAAAATAAATGTCAACCCTTAAACAAAATTCACATGAACTTCACATGAGCAACCACGTGTGAAATATGTGGTTTTGAACATTGTGAAACACATGTCTACATTGCCTCACATATTTCCCTTTTAATTTTTGCACTTAAAGCTCATGGGGTTTTTTTTCTGTGGGTTTTTTCTATCATTAATAATATCCATTTTTGATAATGTTAAGTTTCTTAGGACACACAAGTTTGTTTACACATTAAACTGACCCTGAAAAAGATTGTACTGTTCCATCATCAGACCACAAGGCCTTGTTCCCACATGATAATATGTCATTTCAAACAAACATACAGACAAACAGATGGACGGATATAAAGATGCACTGTAAAAAGTGATTAGTTACTGAAATGTAAGTAAACATGTTGACTCAAAAGCAACAAGTTGATTTATTTTTTTAAAAGTAAGTAAACCATTGACTTTTTATCATTGTGCACAGTTTGCCTACTTAATACTTATATTATAAGGCAATGTGTTTACTCTCTTTTTTTAAGTAGTCAACTAAACGCTTTTTACAGAGGGAGTAAAGCTTTTACATACCCAGAAATGTGCCAGACTGTTGACCTCCATAGACTTCTCTATAAGCGAATCAGGAGAATCCATGAACTTCTTCCCAGTAACAATGCCTGCATTATTTATCAAAATCGTGACATCACCAACCTCACGCTTTACCTTTATAGAACAAAGGGAAGTAGGGGTGAATTACACTGGTTCTTAAAGGACTCAGAGTTAGGATTTACAATAACAGTACAGTACTTACTAATAAAGAAAACATAATAACATAATGATATAAACTATTGTAGATGTCAGGTTCATAGCCGGGGGGTGGTGTGGTTCAGGTGGTTTGTATATCTTAATTGTACAAATAACCCATCGAAGAAGGCTTCGATGAAAAGTCATCAAGCTTTGCAATTATTATTATTATTAATATGTTTTCATTTTTATTATTCAAATGGCCAAAGAGGAAAGATAAATGTGCTGGCCAGTTTGTTGTGCCTGATAAATGACAATAGACTTTTTTTTTTACTTTAACATATTCTCTCTTTTTTAATGATTTATGATATAATACGTTTGTATTTTAAAAATAAGTATTTTTATGGTTCTTTATAATAAATCTTTAGAAAATATTTTTTGGTACAGCAAAACGTGTGGTCATGATGATCATCTGACAAGCTAATCCAGCAAATCATAGTGCTTAAAATCTCACTAAAATGCAGTGTTTAAACCTAATAATAAATTAGAAAATGAGGCAAATAACAGCAAAAAGGTCCACTTTTTGAGAAAAAAAAGAACCACTCTTTTCACCAGGTTGCCTACAGGCCTGCATGTATAGTCAAGCCCAAAATTATTCATACTTCAGGGGGTTGAATAATTTTGGACTTGACTGTAGGTCCACTGAAAATAAACAATATGCATGTGAGCAAGAATCATATTGTTTATGGCATTACAAATGTGATGTGACATAAAACATTTGAGTGTAACTGACAAATCAGTCCTTTAAGGTCTTCAAAACAGTCACAGCTAACATTTTTGACATGTAGGATATGTATGAATGGATGAATAGTTGGTAACACTTAACAATAAAGTTCCATGTTAGTTAATGTTAATGTATTTACTGTACTAGCATGAACAAACAATGAACACTACATTTATTACAGCATCTGTTCCATCTTTAACTTTAGTAAATGAAAATAAAGTTGTTTATTGTTTTTCTTGTTTACACTTTCACAGTGCATTAATTATAAGGTTAACAAGCAAACAATGATTAATACAAGTAGCCTGTGAGTATTGTTCATTCTTAGTTCATATTAGTAAATAAATTATAACCTAACTAGCACTAATGGAACTGTAAAGTGTGACCAAATAAATAATTTAACACAAAATACAATGTAGCCAACAATAAAGTACGTTAACTACTTATCTATGCATGTATTTGATCACAAAGCACAAAGACCTTTAAAAGGAATTTAAACCAAGTCTTTCTTTGTGCTTTGTGAAACCGTCTATTTACCTGGTTTGCGACTCTGTACACTTCCTCTCGGTCGCTACAGTCGCAGGTATACGTGTGGGCTCGCGCTCCGTACTTTTCTTTAATCAAACGAGCCGTCTCTTTATTGCCGTCCTCATTAATATCCCACAGCACAAGGCGCGCGTCCAGGCGCGCGAACTCCAGGGCCATGAGGCGACCTATGCCGCTCCCCGCCCCGGTCAACAACACAAGCTCCCCGGACACATTCTTCCTTCGAGGCGGTATGAATAGCCTAACGAAGGCTTCCAAGCCGAGAACCAGGGAAAGGAAAAGCACCCGAAGAGTCTCCAAAAGAAAGTTCATGATGATGTGGCGAATATATCCTAGAGATGCAAGGGTTACACGGTCACGAGTTAATTCAACTTTTCATTTATTGGCTACAGTAACATTACGACGTTTTTAACAACGTAGGCATCACAACAACTGAATAACTGTAGTAAGAGTTGTCAAATATTCGACGTGCAATGCGAAATAATAGGCTATACATGATAGCCGATCTTACCTCTCTCGTTTCGTAAGCGCTCTATTACAGCAGACTCCGATTGGCTTCATTCATTTGGCATTTAACTGTGCATGTCGTTGACCTTCGTTCAGGCTGCCCGGTTATTACACTTCGTGTTTAGCGAAAGACAAAGTTCAGTATTTGTGTAGCAACTGTAACGGGACAGGATGCGATGGGCGCGGCATATGTTTAACCATTTGACGCCCACTAAGTTGCTACGCTCACAATTGAACAAATAAACTATTGTTGATTTACGCTACTGGCCAACGGCTGCCTTACTTAAAGCTCACTTAAAACTTGATCTAGCGTTGAATGGCGCTTATTTTGAATGTGTTGTAAAAAGTGTTGGGTTTTAAAGACCATTTTGCCTACATGATACAGTACACACCCCCCTGGTGCGTATAGGCTTCGTAGCTGACTTTGTGTTTAGGGGTCCTATTTAATTACATTCACGTTCATTCTTTCTTACTTATTTATCATTAAATGATTTCTCAGTTTGCATTGTTTAGTTTTGTGAATTTCAAGATCACTTGCTTTCAGATCAGAACAATATGTTCCATTGTGAATAGTAGTCCACTCCAGAAAAAGAAAAAAAAAAGACATTAACAGTGCAGACAAACAATATCAATAGGATTAGGGCTGCAGAATATTGGAAAAATCTGACATTGCAATTTTTTGTTTTTCTGCAATATATATTGCAATTTTAATACCATTTCACCAGATCATTTGAATTTGGGAAGATTTCATTTATGTAAATCAATGAGGATGATCTGCAGTGTATCTGCATAAAATATAAGTTCTAAGTCCTATAAGCATATATAAACACAACAAAGCAAAAATATAAGTACTTTATGTTTTTTTGGGAGTGTAACATTATTCAAGTACAGAAGTTAAACAATCAACATGAAATAACATGGTCATCACTATATAAATCCTTTCTATACAATGATGGTGGCTCAGTGGTTAGCACTGTCACTTCACAGCAAGAAGGTCACTGGTTAGAGTCCTGACTGGGCCAGTTGGCGTTTCTGAGTGTAGTTTGCATGTTCTCCTTGTGTTCGCGTGGGTTTTCTTTGGATGCTCCAGTTTCCCCCACTAGTCCAAAGACATGGGCTATAGGTGAATTGGGTAAAACAAAATTGTCCAAAGATGTTTGTGTGTGAATGAGTGTGTATGGATGTTTTCTAGTGATGGGTTGCTCCTGGAAGTGAATCCACTGCGTAGAACATATGTTGAATGTGTTGGCGGTTCATTCCTCTGTGTCAACCCCAGATTAATAAAGGGACGAAGCTGAAAAGAAATTGAATGAATAAATGTTTGTGTGGGAATGTGACTGTGTATGGGTGTTTCCCAGTGCTGGGTTGCTACACATGCTGTATTCTTGACTTACAACCACATTTATAATGTGCTTAATAGCTGTAGTTTCATACTTTGTTAATGATTTATTTTTCATTACTAAATTAAGTATTGCATTATTTACAAATCAGTTATTTAAGCATAGTTGGTTGTTTTTTAAGATAATTCAGAATGAGTGAGTAAATGATCAATAAACTATTCAAATAAACGTTTATATATCTTATTATTCAGGCATATACTAATTGTTGATTTGTATATTAATAAATGCTTTAATAACTTAACTTCATCCAGTTTTGTGATCTAAAGAGAGGACTATTTATTCTTTATAAATGCCTTATAATTGACGATTAAAGGCTCAGTTAAATTATAAACAGGAAAAAGAACATAAACGACAATATTCATTCCTATTTGTTTAAAGATACACAAATTAAACTGTACTTCAAATGAAAAATAAATCTTTGCAACCTTATCTAAAATAAAATTACTGTACAGTTTAAACATTGCATCTTATTATATTGTTAAATTATTGTTGGTGCTTTATCCAATTTTATATTGTATTTTAACAATCTTTGTCATTCAGCAATGTTTAAACTTAAACTACAGTAATTTTACTTTTTAGATAGGATGGCAAAGATTATTGTTCATTTGATACTTTAATTAAGCCTTTAATTGTCATTTATAAGAGATTAGGTCACAAAACTACACAAAGTTGAGTTAATAAAGCATTTAATAGCATGCAAAGTAACCATTTGTCTATTAGTCTGAATCTCAGAGTCTGGTTTTTCTCAAGGTTTTTTCTCTTCATTTTCGCCAATCAGTGAAGTTTATTTCCCTCTCCACTGTCACCTCTAGCTTGCATGGGCTGGGATCGGTAGAGCTACGCATCGATGAATTTGCTCTTCAGTGTTTTGACTCTCAGTAGTGATTTTAAACCACACTGAACTGAGCTAAACTGAACTGAACTTAAACACTAAAAAACTAAACTACACTGTTCCAATTTACTATGACCATTTATGTGAAACTGCTTTGACACAATCTACATTGTAAAAACGCTATAAAAATAAAGCTTAATTGAATTGAATATTACTATATGCCTGAATAATAATATATACAAATGTTGATTTCAATAGTTTAATAATCATAACTAACCTATCCTGAAAGATGTTAAAAACCATTGACTACTCTTAAATACAAAATGATTTGTAAATAATGCAATACTTAATTTAGTAATGAAAAATAAATCATAAACAAAGTATGAAAGTACAATTATTAAGCACATTATAAATGTGGTTGTAAATCAACAATACAGCATTTGTAGCTGTATTTACTGTATAAAATTTACTGTATGTTTACTAACGCTTATTAATGTAAAGTTAATGCTTAACAAATAATAAATCAACTAGATGCTAATGCTTAGTAAATGATAGTTTGTTATATTAAAGTGTTATAAAAAATAGCCCAGCAGTTGGTTTAATAAGTAATAAACAAAAATAACCCAGCATTTTTTAAAGTGTATAAATTCCTCTTTAGGATGTGAGTGAACTCAGAGAACCTAAAGCTGTTGGCAACTTTTTGATATCATTGACTAAGATACCCAAATGTACTTTCGACTGATTATTTAATGTCGTTTACAGAGCACTTATTTAGATATTGTGGGTTATGATTATGCTAAGGATCAAAGGTGAGAGATTAAATTTGCAACGTGTAAAGCACATCCAAACAAGGGCACTGATAGCATGCTTTATTTTACTACTAATGCCTGACCTTCTGTGATATAAAGACATTGCAGGGTAAATTTACATGCTGACCTGGTAATATATTCATATGATTATGAGTTTCACAGTACCTCACTTCTTTAACTATGGAGTACTGCAAATTTTACACACAGTTGCAATCAGATTTATTAGCCCCCCTTTGAATTTTTTTTCTTTTTTAAATATTTCTCAAATATAACAGGGCAAGGAAATTTTCACAGTATGTCTGATAATATTTTTTCTTCTGGAGAAAGTCTTATTTGTTTTATTTTGGCTAGATTAAAAGCAGTTTTTAATTGTATTTAAAACATTTTAAGGTCAAAATTATAAGCCCCTTTAAGCAATTTTTTTTTCCAATAGCCTGAACAAACCATCGTTATACAATAACTTGCCTAATTACTTTTACCTGCCTAGTTAACTTAATTTTAAGCCTTTAAATGTCACTTTAATCTGCATAGAAGTGTTTCCAAAAATTATCTAGTCATATATTATTTACTGTCATCATGGCAAAGATAAAATAAATCAGTTATTAGAAATGAGTTATTAAAAATATTATGTTTAGAAATGTGTTGAAGAATTGCATCTGTAGAGAACAGAAGTATGATCATAACAGTTCAGAAAAGCTAATGAGCTCAACTTGATTTTACTTGTTAACAAAAGACAAAACATATCACTTAAGACTTGGCCGATTGATACCATTTATTGATTTTTATTCAAGACACACATTCTGGTGCAGTTTCAAGCAGTTTATTTAAGCTGTACAACAAATGACAAGATTCACACTGGTACCCAAAAAAATATACATCTTTGTAAAAGGCAAGTGATTTGAAGAAATATTAACTATGTAATGGTCAACTCTTATATTTTCTCTGTTGTTTGTCTCTTGTATAGCTGAATGAATGCCTCATGCAAACCAGAATTGCAGTGTTGATGAAAACATATTACAATATTCTTGTTCGGTCAAAAACAGATAACCCTGTTTATTAAAATATGCTACACAACTTGACTATGATTGTGACTTCAGATGCAATGTGTACTGTTAAAATGGTCTTACTCACACAATAACATCACAATAAAGACATAATGAACACTTTATTAATACATTACATTAGCGTGTTTTAAGCATATTTTCTGTTCAGTTTTCAGGTGTTTTTTTATCTTCAAGAGGAAGTGAACTTGGACATCGCGGACATCATCTTAATATCCCATAAATCCACCATACCTCTTTTCTACCTCTGATGAATTTTCATCCTCGTCTTGCTCTTGAGACCGCTTTAAGAAGCCTCCGTAACGTTTAGACTCCTGCCACCAATCTGGTCGGCCTACTCTCCTCATGAAGCCCCCATAACGTTTTTGCAGTTCCCTAACCCCACTCTCCAAGTCATAAAGCCCTCCCCTTCTCATAAAACCCCCATAACGTTTTGCAGTTCCCTCTTCACCTCCCTTTGAACGTGTCAGAGCCGCTTCCTCCCTCTCCCCGTCAGCCTCAACTTGATTGGCCAGCATTTCAACATCATGATTAGTCAGGATTGCTCTGCCCTGATCAACATCCTCTGGCTCCAGCCCATAGAATTCAGCTGCCTTCTTCATGAATCCTCCATAACGCTTGATTAAACTTTCAGAACGTTTCATGAAGCCGCCATATTTTTTGTCTACCTGGTGCTGTTGGCTGTTTGAGTGTTCGATTTGTGTGGCTGCTCGGTTACCCTCAGGACTGTTATCAGCATTCTGCATGAAATGTTTGCACTGACTCCAAGAGCTGCCTGCGTTCGGTTGCTCCTCACACTCCAACACACATTCCTGCGAGAAAAAGCAAAACAAAACGTGAATGTATAGTCGTTGAGACGTACACAGCAGTCCCAGAAATGAATGGCTGAGAGGATATCCCTCGTCTCTCCCTCAACCTTCATCTCTCAATCCATAACTGGGCAATATGCAAATGAAGGAGTGTGTTTTGGATGATAGTGGATGAGTAGGTGTAGAGGTTGTGCTAAGCTTGTGGGCAACCATGGAAAC